TCATTCCTGGTCATTCTGCTGTTAGGGTCAATTTGCACATTACCCTTTTATTATATAGGACGTAATAAGAAAACTATCCCACTTATCATTGAAAAAAATATATATATGTGTATATATATATATATATAGATATATATATATCTCCTTTCCTCTTTTTTAGCTCTAGGCCAAAATAATTTCTTCCTGGATTATTATTGTACCCACCTTCATATTTGTTTTCTGACCTCCAATCTTACCTTGTCTAATCTCTTATCCGATACTGCAGTTTAATCCTAAAATCAAATTTGATGATGTTATTCCCTTAAGAAAAATCCTTCAATCATTCAAATGCACCTTTTTGTTTTTTCCTCCATGTCCTTTGCCTGGAACTCTTGACCTCGTCTCATCTGCCAACCTTCTACACCTCTTCTAAAAGTCAGTTCAGCAATGACTCCTGTGTGAAGCCTTCTCTGACCACTTAATGGAAGTCCTTCCTGTTTTCCTTTGGTCCTGGTGGACCTGGTTCTTCCTTTTGCAGTGCTCATTACTCTGTTGTACCTCAATCCATCTTGATTATGCCCATCCCTGGAGAAAATTCTATGTTATGGATTCCAGCACAACATCTAGCGGGCAGAAGGTAGGTTCTTAATATTTGTTGATTGAGGCGATGAGTAAAGCAATAAGGGGTAAGGTAGAGGCCTAAGTAAACCTGATCCTCACTTTGCAATATAGGAAAAGAGAAAAGGGCTCATTCCAGAACCTGAGAAATACTAGGTCATAAGCCATATGGACCCATTAGCAGAGTCCATCCTTAAATTGAAAAGTCATCTGACTACCAGGAGGCAACTTAAGGCTCCCTGACCACATAATTTTCCATGGTGGCTCTTGCCACTTTTCAGGAGCTGTTGTGGTCCATTCACTGAATTAATGTCCTGACCATCCCCATCCCTGAGTGTTAGGAGGCAGGAGGAGTGTGAAACTACTTTAAGACTCAGGTGGTCAAAGGGTCAGAACGTCAGCATTTTTCATCTTCTCCCAAGAGAGGTGTCACCCTTTCTCAGGAGCACCCTCCATTGATCTCTGTTCTTTCCTGGTATGTATCTAAAACCTTCCTATAGCCCAGTGGCCCTCAACCTTCCTAATGCCACGACCCTTTAATACAGTTCCTCATGTTGTGGTGACCCCCAATTTCATTGTTACAAATTGAACATAATTAAAGCATAGTGATTAATCACAAAAACAATATGTAACTATATATGTGTTTTCTGATAGTCTTAGGCGACCCCTGTGAAAGGGTCATTCGACTCCCAAAGGGGTCGCGACCCACAGGTTGTGAACCACTGCTATAGCCATTTGAGCCCTCCTTCTGGCCAACCACTGGAGAGGTCTCATTGTCTTAGTCCTTAAAGTATCCGGGACTGAGCATATGCTCATGAATTAAACAAATGAGTTAATAGACAACCTAGGTTTCAGGGAGCCCCGGCTAGCATTTCGGTCAAGTGTACAGAGACCCTGTCTGGTGCCATATGCCTTTTTTTGGTCTCTGAAAGCACAGGAGGCAGGGTTTTGCCCGACACAATTAAGTGCTTAAGAGCTCCATTTGTGTGTTTTGTTTTCCACAAATCTCTTCCTCTCCAATTGTAGCCAAGTAGAAGAGAGACTGTGAGACTGCACCAACCAGCCCAGCAGACAGACAACAGAGCCACAAACAATAGCCCAAATTCAACCCAATTGCTCAACAGAGAGCCTTGGACAGGTGGGTGTGTCCCCAGATCAGTGAGTTATGTGGCTTGAACACAGAACTGACATACAAGATGTGCCTATCCCTGGCTGTCTCTGGGGAAATCTGTGCTCAAAAACACTCAGGATTATCTAGGAGAGAGCAGGAGTGGAGCCCAGGGACTAGGGCTCCAAGAGGAGCTCTCATTCCTTTCATAAGGAGACAGGAAGAGACCCTGGGGAGCTCTCAGGGATAAGCCCAGGCCTGGTTCAGCTGCTGAGATGCCGCCAGGCCAATTAAATAATTGGTGTGATGGGGGAAAAGAGGGAGGCCACCCCCTCAGGCCAACTCCCACCCCACAGGAAGGCTCCTTGCAGCTGCCGCACAGCAGCAGCATGAACAGGGCAGGGATGGCTTCTTCCCACTAAACTGAGAACTACGGCTTAAATTAGCACCTTGGAAACACCCAGATCTGCTGGCTGTGCCTTCTCTTCCAGCTCATGCCACTCTTCTAGGCCTCCTTTTTAAGCTCGAGTTTCTCTTTCAAGTAAATGATAAAAATAAATAAATAAAGATACTCTCCCCTCAGAGCTCATTTTTCCAAGTGAGGGATGGCCTCTGGATTCTTCCCACTACTATGAGTAGGGGAAATTTATTTGATGATCGAGCCCATATGACAGGCCTGTACAAGTACAGCTTAGTCCAGAAAGAGGGAATGATGCTGGCACCAGCATTGCCTCATTTCCTTTAGGGTTGAAGGAGACAGCCCCCATTCTGCCCTCAGAGAGGCTCACCCTGAGGGAGTGAGCAAGAACAATAAACTTCTGTTGAACTGTGAGCTTCCGGAGGGCAGGGCCATATTTGCATCTATGTTGTTAACCACAGTGTTCCTAACCCCTAGTGTAGTATTTAGAACAGAGCAGATGCTCAATAAATATCAGGTGAATGAATTTTCAGAATCAGTAATATCAAGTCCCTATGATATTCTTTGGAAGAGAGAGTGAGGAGCTATTGTTTAACCTTTAAAGAGATAGCTTGTCTTCATTTAATAAATGGGAAAACTAAGTCCGGAGAAGAGGAGAGACTTTCTAGAATAGAGGTCTCAATAAATAATGGCAAGAAATAAGATTGGTCACAGCTGAGTTCAAGCCTGGGCCCCTAGTTGTTATGGTCCACCCAGATACTCCCAACTAGCCATTTTGCCGTCTCTTCTATTGATACCACTTCGATTCCTTATACCCTGAAATGAAGGCTCTTGGGGAAATGCCACACAAAATTCTGCTGGTCTCAACAACATACAGAGCATTTAAGGAGTTCTGGGAGTCCTTTGGGCTTCAACCTGGGAACAACCATCAAGTAATAGAAATCTGCAGGTCAGCGTCTATGGTCCTCAAATGGGGGATGGCTGTATTGCTACTTCCATAAGGCTCTCACTCAACTGCAACAGAGCAGCCCCTAGCAGAGAAGGACTCCTTCAGGCTTCAAGAAAAAGGTCTGAAGGCAATTGGTTTTTCTGATAAATGTCTCCGTGCACTTCTCCTCCAGAGCCACAGCTTGGGAGTCTTCCGGGACCAGTACTCACTCAAACCATCATTAAAAACTTTAGGCAATGATGGAGGCACCAAGGACAATGGAGAGAGCCTAGTGATTCAATTCCTTCCCCCCTTTCCCTGGACAGCTATTGCCTCCCTTTTCAGGAACCCCACATGGGAGGCAAGAACCAACTCATTGCGCTCTTCTGACTCACTTGGACGTCCTCCTCCTCCTTCATCCACCTTCCTTTGGGTTCTTGATTAGATGCTTAGAATTGGAAGGGCAATCTAGTTTGACAAACCAGGTTGGGTGGAAAAATAATCAGAAAGGAAAGTCCTCTTAACCCAGCCCAAAGTTCTTCCATATTATGGGACAAACTTGTCACCAAGTTTTTCTGACCCCCTAAATAATCCAATGATGGCATCAAGCTAGCATCTCTCTCCCAGTGTAACATGGTACACTTCTGTGCAGCTTCTCTTTTGGCTTCTGGAACTGTCTAAGTAGTCACAAAAGGGGGAAAATGACTTTTATCTCCTGCCAGGTAGCCTCCAATGATTCTCTCTACCATCTTCCAAAAAGTGTGGCTTAGAGTAGGTCATGGCTTCCTACCAAGGTCTGTCTTGGCTGCTGTGATGGGCAGGTTGCTCGGGAAGCCACAAAGCACATCTATAAGCCAGGGGCCTGGAGGCCCAAGGGTAGAAGCTGTTCCTCACCTCCTGGCCTAACACAGAGGAAGAGCCGTAGGGAGCCCAATATCTGCAAGTCTTGGAGAGCTCTGCTAGGTTCCAGCAGAACTCAGAGAATAGGGGACCCAACCTTTAGGTTTCTGGCCTGCTCTGACTCCTTCCAGCTCCCCCTAAGGCTGGGGGTGGGGGGGAGGAAGGGAGGAGAAGGAAAAGCGAACTGAGAATAGAGCCAGGGCGCTCCCTGGATATTCTCTCTCTCTCTCTCTCTCTCTCTCTCTCTCTCTCTCTCTCTCTCTCTCTGCGGTCGGATCGGCGCCCAGCAAGGGCTCCAAACACCTAGGCCTAGGAGGATGGGGGCTCTTCCCCACGGCCCCGGCGCAGCCCTGCCCCCTCGCCCGTCGGTTCGGGAGCCCCTCTCGTCCGCACCTCAGATTCTCCATCCCGCCTCTGCGCGCTCTCCTTCTCGGTGCCCGTGCCGCCGGCCTAGGCTACCTGCGCTCTCCTCCGGAAAAGGGAATCCCCGGGTCCTGCACCGACCTCTGCCCCCACGGATCCCTGCCCCCGCGTTCG